GGTCGGCATGGGCCCCCGCCTTGGCTCGGCTCTCCTGCTGGAGCAGAAGCACGTTGCCCTCCCCAGGGGAGTGAGAAGAGTCTGCAATCAGCCATGGCGTCACTCAGTCCCAGTCTCCCCGGAATGCTCAGCCTGCTCCTTCCACATTCCAACCTAGTTGACTGAATGCAGAGCTGGACACTGAGTCCAACATGAGCTATGCATCTCCTCACTTAACCATCAACAATCCTGCAATGGCTGTTATTCTCCTCGATAATCAGGTGAGGAAACCAAAGTTTAGATATTGAGGCAGGGGAGTGGTCCAGAATGGTCCACATCTAGAATGTACTGGTTAAAACCAGTACTCACTCCAAAGCCTGAGCTTTTTACAACTGTATTCATTAACCCCCAGGCATTTGAGGGGGGGGGGGTGGAAATTCCGGTGCCAGGGATTAAACTCAGGGTATTGATTAAACTCCAAGGCAGGTGCTCCAGCCCTTGGAGTGTGCTCCCTGTCACTCACACATGTATCCCACCTTCTAAAGATCACCCCTTCCCTGGCGAAGCAAGAGCAACCAATCACCTTCACTCTGGTCCATCAGTGCATGCAAAAAAAAAAAAATCTTCCCTCTGCTTTTGTCCAAACTCTTTCTAACCACTGTTTTAGTGTTTCCTTTCATTATTCTGTCATTCTCAGGTAATTTATATTTTACGTTATACACCATCCATATATTTCTCCTGCGATTGAACTTTAAATTATATTTCCCTTGGCTGGAGAGCTAACTCAATGGATTGAGCACATGCTTTATATGCAGGAAGGAGGCCCTGGTTCAATCTCTGGAGTTGTAGGGCCCCTCAGGGAACCACCAGGTATGACCCCAAACCAATAATAAATAATATACATTAAAAAATCATAAGACAAAATAAATTATATTTTCCTACTAAGTTCAACACTAATTAGTTTCCTCTCTGTGTGATGCAACTGAAGATTTGAATTTATGTTAGGCAAAGCATCTGCAAACAGTAAATTCTTTTTTCAGAAAAATAATGAAATTTAAAAGGGCCAAGAAATAGTACAGGGGTTACGGCCCTTCCCTTGCACCCTATTAGCTCCCCCGTACCTCACCTGGTCTGTACAGCATTGCCAGGAGTGACCCCTGAACACCACTAGGTGTGGTTCAAAAGGCAAAAAAAAAAATTCCTTTAAATGAGAAGAAAACTATAATCATACTTTCTTCCATCAAAAAACACCTTGAAACAGAGATTTTAATTCACAAGGACTCTTAACAAGTGGATTTCGTTTAGAACAACAATCAAGAAGCAAACAAACAGCTAAACTAAACCATAGTGGTCTTTGTTCAAGAAGCAGAGCTACCTCAGGCAGGCCTGAGGAGAGCCGGCTCTGTCGTAGCCTGCAGCTGGAGCTCCCCTTGCGTGTGCCTCTGGCCAAAGTCAATTCATCGCTGACCAACCCTGCTCTCGCTCCAGGCCTATTAAACGTGTCCACCGTACTTCAACCTTGAGGGAAGCAATCCGCTCCTAGAATTCGAGGGACTATAGAACAAACATGATTGCCAATCAATGCCTCTTTTGCAGACAACAACACCCAAAAGGAGAGAGAACAAAAGGGAATGCCCTGCCCCAGAGGCAGGGTGGAATGGGGGGATAGGGGGTGGGAGGGATACTGGGATCAGTGGTGGTAGAGAATGGGCACCAGTGGAGGGATGGGTGTTTGATCATTGTATAACTGAAATCCAAGCACAAAAATTTGTAAGTCTACAACTGTACCTCATGGTGTTTCACTAACAAAAATTAAAAAAAAATAAATAAAAAAAGAATTCCAGGTGCCTTACTGGGAAACACGCCTTCCAGAAACTTATTCCCTTAAACTCTGGAGAACCCTTTGCATCTGCCTTCATGCAAGTCCTTGAAGCCCTGAAGGTTCCTCAGTAGACCTCCCCACCTTGCTATTCCCCTCTTCTGCTCCCCCATGGTTCTCACTCTGCCCCCAGACCAGGTTCAGAACACCAGCCCTTTGGGCTTGACCCACCAACTCCCAGCCCCCACGTGATGTTGACTTCGCTTCTTCCCTTTCCTCACTCTACCTAATTCTTAGAAAGCTCTTTGCAGGCCAAAGTCATCATGTCATTATTTAGGCTATTTTAGGAAATGACCCAACCATCATTGCCCACCCCCTTATTTTCAATAGAGTGAGAAAGAGCAGCTCCTGGTGTGATCGGAGTGGGAGGAAGTGGAAGGGGATCCAAGCGGGAGAGGGAACCAGGACAAGCATCCCTGAAGGCTGATTTCCATCTCGCCTTCCAACTTAAAAGCAGGAGCCCATGGGCCCTCCGTGGCATTGTGTTACCCCATTTCACAGCCCCTGCATGCTCCCTCTACTCGCATTCCAGGAGTTGCTTCCTGACCCAGAGATGCTCTGGTGTTTCATCAGATCACTCCAACACAACAAACCAGGCAGCAAGACTTGAAGGTGGGACTTAACCAGTCTCTCCCTTGATAAGAAGCAGAAGAGCACATGGCATGGGGGACCAGCAAGCCATGTTCACTCTCCCTGCCACTGACTCACCTCGACATTCTTTATGATTGACACTACCTGAGTCTGCCTCCCTCACCTGTGAAATGGACATAAATGGAACCATGTAACTCACTGAGTTAAGAGTACTAAGATTGGGGCTGGAGAGATACTACAGCAAGTAAGGCACTTTCTTTGCAAACAACCAACCAGGGCTCAATCCCTGGCACCCTAAAAGGTCCCCTGAGCACCACCAGGAGTAATCCCTGAGCACAGAGCCAGGAATAAGCCCTGAGAAGATCAGAGTGTGTCCTAAAAACAACCAAATTATTACTAAGATAATATCTGCAAGATACTATGTATCCAACACACAGTGAACACACTCAAAACCACAGGTAAATCAATTTTAGAAAAGCCAGATTTATCAATTAAAGAAAATTAAACATCTTGGGGGGTGGCAGCTGCAACTTACTTCATTCTATTACACCAGAATGTGAATTTATTAAAACAACAACAACAACAACAGAGAAACAGTCAACCTGTTTAGTCAGTAAACTTTAAATACTGAAGCTGGAGGTGGGTTTGGGTGCTGTAAAGACACGACTGCACAATAACACCCATAGCAAAATAATAATAATAATAATAATTTCCCCACTGGACTCTCAAAATAAATATAGGCTTCTTTATGATTAAAGAGTTGGCTCATCTCTCTTGCAATTCTCTCAGTGCATTACTGTGCTCTCAAAATACCCACTGCTAAAATAGAATAAAAACGAACAACGTTTAAAAAAGATAAAGTCTGTTCTTTATTTCTCCTCCCTTATCTTGGGCAAACTGTGCAAGATTGTTCTCTCACACCTCCACCTGGACTCAGGTGAGTGCAACAGTATGGTTCTTGTACGCTGCTGAAGTTCTCCACTTGATGCTTTGAACTTGGCTCTTCCTTCCCTAGACTGAGTTAGCTTCCAAGCCGACTCCCGTCACCTCCGCCTGCTGCCGACAGAGGGCGATAGTGATCAGGTGTGGACTGGCGCATAGCCCAGTCCTGCGCCATCCCCTGTCTCCCGCCCAGGACCGGGCTGGTAGTCTGGGCCAGCTTTTGAGGTGTTTTACATGCATTAACCCCACTGCAGGTCTTTTAGCTCCTCAATTAAGGGTAATTTCTAGAAGGATGAAAGATAGAGACTCATCTTAAAAAATTGTCCAGGGTGGAGAAAACCAAGACAAAATGATAAATATGGTCCTTGAGTAAAACCAGTCATTCTAAGAGAGCCAGACTGCCCAGGGCACGTTGCCCCCGGGAGAAGCGTCTAACAATGGTCAATAGCCACATGAAGGCAGAAAACATTAGGAATGTTTGAGCCAAGTCCAAGCCTGACAGAACCACCAACAAAGCCCCTTTCTCCCTGGTGACAGAGAACAGGAATCCTGGAAAGGGATAACTGATTTTCCCTTGGCAGTTCACTTTTTGTTCATATAGCACGGGCTGGGATTTATTGGAGGTCTGAAAGCAGGCCTTCTCAGCTTTACCAGAGTACCAGATGCCCTATGGAGCTTTGAAGAATCTGGAAACCCAGGGCTGGGCTGGGCCCAGGTACGAGTCGTGACTAGAACTCCTCAGTCAATGTGCTGAGACTCCACCTTCTCAAATCGAGGCACCAGTAAAATCCAACAGCTCCAGGCACCACAGATTTCAACCTAACCCCAAATGCAGAATCCCAGGTGCTAAGCACCATGCCCTGCACCACAATATCCCAAGACCTCAGAATCTGTGAGGAGAGAAACCACCTATCCTCAGGCAACCCTGGGAGGGGACATGTACTGCCAGGGAAAATGGCACACTGTCGGGGTCTAACGGAAACAATCATACACCTTTACCACTGAGCCCAAAGCCAAGGTCTTGGTCATACCAGCAAATCCACTGACAAACAGACAATCACAGCAGCCTATTCAAAACTATGGGAGCTCTGGGCTGGAGAGAGAGAACAGAGGTTAGGCGTTTGCCTGGCCTGCAGCTGACCCTTCTTTCAACCTCAGCATCTGAAGTGGGAGTGACCACAATAAGGTGTGTTTACACAACAACAACAACAACAACCACCACCATAATACGGTGGGGAGGGCACTTGCCTTGCACAAGGTTGATTCTGCTTTGATTCCTGGTACCCTATATGGTCCCCTCAGCACCCAAAAGTGATCCCTGTATGCAGAGCCAGGAGTAAGACCTGAGCACTTCTGGGTGAGGCCCCAAAACAAACAAACACACAAAACTCCACAAAAAAACAAAACAACAATAAGAACCCTCTGGAAGCTTCTAGATATCACCATCTTTCCCTTCCTTTCCCGTATGCACAACAACTTATTCTTGGCCTGACCACTCACACCACACATTCCGATTTCCTGTGTTTTTCACCATCCAGTTATGCGAGTGCCCTCCTGTTTCCTGGGCATCCTTTCTTTCCCGAGGCATTCTCACCCCCATCCCCTTTACCTTGTCTGCCATGATCATAGAGGAGCCCCCGTGGATGCCCAGGATGGGGGTGAGGGTCTGTGCAGAGATGAAGTCAAGGATCTGGGCGATGGCCTCTTGGTCTGTGTCATCGGCAAACACCACGCCCTGGACCTTGCGGTCCGACATGAGGTCGCAGATGCGGGTGATGATGCTCTTGGGGTCGGTCTCATTCATGGCGACCAGCTCCACCCGGGGCACCACGGAGAGATGGTGGAAATCATCTTTGTCGTGGGCATCCTTGATGGCCACCTCGTCGGAAGTGCCCACGAGGATGACAGCAATGCCGATGCTTGGGGAGCTCTTCTGGGAGCGGGCTCGGCTGCCGGTCACGACCAGGGCAGCCAGCACCAACCAGAACTTGGGAGAACAGCACTCTGCCCACAGCTTCATCTTCGACTCGTCGACTCCCTGAAAACGCGGAGAGAGAAAAGAGATGAAGTGGCATGGGGGAGTCCCCGGGGACACTTTATCACCAACCCCAACTGCATCGGGAGGTCTCTTATTTCGGGTGGCAGGGTTGTACCCAGTGAGACTTAGGGGCTACTCTGGGGTCTGTGCTCAGAGGAGGTTCCTGGTGGTGTCTGGGAGACAGTGCAGAGGTAGGGATTGAACCGGGCCTCCTGAATGTTGAGCACTGGAGAGTCGAGCCCTCCTCTAGTCTCTTCACTCTCATGTTTATTCAGTGGCATGAGAAGGTGAGCAGCATACAGTTTTACAAGCATCTGAGATGCCTATGAAAGATTATGAAAAAGGTCATTGCCTCAGCCACCAGCAGCAAACAGACACCCAAGGGCTGGGGCCCAAGCAAGAGGGTCTGGAGGCACCCTCATTCCCACTGCAAAGCGCAGAGGAGGTGGCAGAGGTTAAGCAAAGTGAGGAGAGCACTGAGCTCAGCGAGCTCTAGCTGTGAACCTTGATCTGGAGAACTCCCTAGAGAGTGACAGACACAGGAGCCCCGTATTCTGTGGACTCTGTAGTCCCCTCAAAGAGAACAACCATCTGAAACTCTTCATCATCCCTTTCAGTATCTGGAGCTTAATACTAAATTAAAAGAACCACCAATAGGAAACAGTTAACTCAACGTAGTGTATACACGTGCTGATATCTAGTGAGGCATATCTGAGACAGTTAATCATGCATGTAATGCCCACTTAGTTTTATAAAACATCCCCTAGATGGGGAGAAGATATATGCTCAATGACCATCTGATTGATATCTAAGATATATAAAGCACTGGTAGAACTTGACAAGAAACACATATCCAATCCCATCAGAAAATGGGGAGGGAGGAGAGATGAACAGAAACTTCCTTAAAGAAGACGTAGAGATGGCTAAAAGGTATTTGGGGAAATGTGCTGCATCAGGGAAATGCAAATAAAAAAACAGTAAGATGTTATCTCACACCAGTGAGACTGGCACAAAGAACAAAAGCCACCAGTGTTGGCATGGATGTGGGGGGAAAGGGACCCTCATTCATTGCTGGTGTGAACGGCAACTGATCCCACAAACTATATGGATGTTAAAAAAAAAAACCTAGGAATTATGCTTCCATATAACCCAACAATTCTACTTCTTGGCATCTACCCTGGAAACCTAAAAACTCTATTCAGAAAAGACTTTTGCCCTCATCTGATCATTATAACACTATTCACAATAGCCAAAATATGGAACCAATCCAAGTGTCCAAGAACAGATGACTGGATAAAGAAACTGTTGTATATATAAACAATGGAATACTACTTGGCCATAAGAAAAGATGAAATTGTGCAATTTGTCACTACATGAACAGATCTGGAGAGTGTCATGCTGAAATTGTGAAATCAGTTAGGAGAGGGGTGGATACAGAACGACCTCCCTCATGCCTGCAATATAAGGAAACAAACTAGGGAGATAACAAATGTGCAAAGGCTACAGAAACTGAGAACAATCTTTGGCAGGAAGCTTGTTAGACCAGAGAGAAGGCGGAAGGGAATCGGATCAGGTGGGTAGGCGGGACCCTGGGACACAGAGGAAGCAGTGGATACTGGTAGAGGGTGTGTTGCTGGATTGTGTCATGCATGAAATCCTACCACTACGGGTATTGTAAACCATGGTGCCTAAAATAAAAATTTTTGAATTGACATTAAACTAAAAAATTAATAATGAGGAAAACATCCTAAATGATCCTTAAAATAACTCAGTGAGGAGAAAATAAGAACAGATTAGAAGTGTGATGAGGCCAATGGTGGTGAAGGTTCAGTCACTTTGTACGTCAAAACCATGAAACTAACACAACTGTAACTGTGTTACCTAAACTACTATGAAAATAATTTTTAATAAGATAGTATTGACATTCAGAGATGTTGTGGGGAAGGTTCAAGCTAAGCCACCACAATCATAAACAAATTCAGTGAAGCCAGAGCTTCTAGAAGGCTTTGGGGCCAATGTATACCCTGTAGCTCCCTCATCATCAGCATTCACCAAGACAGTCTCATGAAAAGCTGCCTGGGGTTCTGGATCTGAAGGCTCCAACAATAGCTAGAGACATAGGTGGTAGAGTTAGAGCCATCTTTGGAAAAGTCCCAGTTATGGTTTGTCCTGGTGGCATTCTCTGAAATGCCCCACTCATTCACACCCCAGCATCATGCCCACCTCTCCTGTATCCAATCCCTGCTTTTACGCTTCTGCAGATACAGCCAAACCTCACACTGCTCCAGACCATGGAGGTGTGCTACAGAATATGGTCACTTCTCATCAGGTCTCTCCTCATTCTCCAAGAGCTCTTAGTTAAAGAGAACTGGTCCCGCTTATGGTGTTTGAACGGCTCTTTCTAAATCCTCATTAATTCTGCATGTGTTACAGCTGGTGTTAGGCATTTTCTCAAATGCAATCTCTCTAGTCCTCCTAGAAGGCCTATCCATTCGTCATTTTATTTCCATTTCTCTGATGGGGAAACAGTGAGATGATTTCCCAAGGTCACTGCTATAATAATCCCAGCATGCCAATATATAAACATAACATATCTATGCTTCAAGGAAACAGTCTGCAAACTGCATGCAGAAGCAGAACCAGGAATTCTGATTCTCCTACAAAGAGAGCATTTGATCAAGGGAGAAAACGAATAGTTCCCATTTGGTTGGGGGTTGCAGGAGAGATAAGTTCTAAGAGGTTTGAAGAGTTTAGCTAAGAAGAAGAACAATATGATGGAGAGTGCTGATAACTGCAAGAGGAGGAAGCTTTTCGGCTGAAACCTTGGCTGAAAAGGGTACCAGAGATTCGGGGGGAAGTGCTGGGGACATTTTGTGGCTGAAGAAGCACAAAATCCAATCCAGATCTTGGCAGCAAGCATTTTGGATCTCCTGCTGTTGCAGTCATCTTTCAAACTGCCAAGAAGAGCTCCATCGATTGCTTTGTCTCTCTTGCAAATAAGATGTGTAGCTCAGGGGTTCACACCTGAGCAAAATTTACTCCTGACAATTTTCTGGTCTCTGTGTCTGTGTGGAAACAGGGAACGACTGTGTGAGCCCCAGGAACCCAAGCTGATGAGCTGTGACCAATCCGGCGAGTGTCGAGCCTGAATCCCTGGCTTCAAGCACAGCATCCATCCACAGAGATGGTATGCACTGGATAGCCAGAGGGATTTAGCACCTCAAAGAGCTGTTGGCAAAATAATATTAATAACGTGTTCGATTCCAAGGACCGGCTCTCTAGGAGAGCCAAAAGATTGAGAATTTGGCAAAATGAACGGCTCCCGTATTTTCAGCGCGATCCACATCCTACGGTTACGAGTCACTAAATCAGATTCTCTCACACAGACAAGTGGTCCACTCTGCCATGACAGTTTATTAACTTTAATGCACTCTCTACTCTTTGATGTTTTATTTGCTCTCTTTAAAATATCTCTGGTGTTCCTCTGTTTCTTCTCCCACAATATATTATACTTTGTTATGCAATGGCTACTTGTGACATTTGGAAGAATAGAATCTGGTTTTACTGCACGGTTCTTTTGTACTCGGGATGGAGCACAGCACTTCACAAAGCAATACATTATGGGAGATACCAGTAACAGAGGGGCTGCCAGGCAAACAAAGACGCCGCTGTGAATGCAAACTCAATTTCACACATTCGAAGGGAGCTAGTTGAGAGAAAGCATGTAGTCCAAGATAAGCAAATTGGTTTTTGTTCTGTTCTGCAGACAGACCACAGTTGTGTTGATGCACTGGCTCTCTGGAGCTTGGCCCTCCTCCCTGAGCTCCACCCTCCCCAACAGAATCAGGCATTGCTCCCTTTGGGCATACGCCATGGCCTGCATGGGTCTTTTTCAGTGCCTGGAACAGCTTGTTGTCACTGCATGCTCACATACTTGCCTATCTTAACCAGTTGGTGCACAGGTATCTTCTCAGTTTAGAAAGCATTTATTGAGCACCTACTCAGTAAAGTATTTACTGAGCACCTGTTATCTAGCTTTATCTGCTAGATAACATGCAGTAAAACCATTAATTTTGGTGCTGGGGCCACAATGGACACAGGCTCCATTCTCCAAGCCCACAGTCTAGTAGAAGACACAGACACACACAGTTGACTGGGTCTCACTTTTATTTGCATGTATGTGGTGGCGGGAGGGGGGGAGGATCTAGTGAGGTCCCCCACAATGATGAAAAAACAATAAATAGCCACAAATGAGTTTCTATCACTATGCCAATATTTCTGACCATTTTTAACTGAAAAATGTAAACTGTTTTACATAGTAGATATTTCCTCTGACACTTTGCCTACAACCTACTGCATATCAGGCATTACTACTTTAAGATAATTTTCCTATATCAGTAAGTTACATATGACATTGTCATAAAGTTTCTTTAAGTTTCAAAAAGGAGTCTTGGCCTTCAGTGTGTATTCTAGGTGACACAGCTAGTAAGAAATGGACCTAAGTTTTTAAACCCAAACCACTGTCACTTCTATTCTGTTGCCTCTTAATAAGAGTGTGCAAATGAATGAATGAATGAATGAAATAGCACACTCAAACCAAGCTGCATGCTCATAACAGTGCCACAGACACTAAGTACTTGGTGTATATATACATCACCCATCACATCTCCGTGTCCTCAGGGGTAAAGCAGGATATTATATCTACCCTACATACTTGGCAGATTTTGTGGGAAAGATCAAATGCAAACAGGCATATGGACAGTGCTTTGAAGGCTATGAAATCTTCCACAGAGGCAAAGGCGGTTCCCTTTAAGTTTCTACAGAAGTTGTTCAAGGAGTCTGGCTATTTCTGAAAACAGCCAGCCAGCATGTGGGAGGCAGGAGGAGAGACTGGCAGGCGGGCGCGGGGAGGAATGCTAAAAGGGTGTGTGCCCAGGGAAGGGCAGCCAAGCACTGACGGATCGGATGCCCTGGAAAGGGGGACAGAGCCTGGCCTCCAA